TTATAATTTTCGTTCTTCATCGCTGATACTCAGAAGAGTTGAACAGTATAATCGGCGGTTGTCGAAATGAATGTTCATGAGATTTATGCCACGATGGATGTCAAAGCTATGAAGAAACACTAATGTCTTCATCACTGTTCAGATACAAAAACGGTTTAACTTTCGCCTATTTAACGTAGTTGGCGAAGATGGCCAAAACATAGGAGTAAAGGTTGTAAACAGGAAGGCGGAAGAGACTAATGTGATGAGTGAATGCTTTAATCACCAAGGTAGGAACATAGCCAGAGGTAATGCCATTAGGCAATGATCCACAAATTCAAAAGTGATTCTCACGGATTTTGTTTTGTGAAAATAACGAACTTTGTGATGACGATAAGTTTTTAAAAAAGTTGTAGCCTACTTACTTTTTAATTGTTCATTGCTGCTCATTTCTAAAAATAATTTAGCTGGAAAACGGCCCATTCTTTAAAAATTCCTGGCTTTCGCCTCTGCACCAAATGATAACTCTTTGTCTACCACTATTAAAAAAGATTCGTTTCTACCTTCGTTCATGGAAAGTAGTCCTTAGAATGATAAACAATAGCCTTTACAGTTGTGAAAATTGATGTTGAAGAGATTAATGTGAATGGAAGATGTTTGAATCAAAAACAGAGCTGTCTTTGTTCATGAATATCCAAAGAAGAGAATCGTTTTACATGTCTACATTGAAGAGTGAGGTTGCTCATGAGAGCTAGAGCTTCCTATGAGTAGTTGTGAAAGCGAAAACTATTTCATGCCGCAAGACTGGTAGATTCTGGAGAAACTAAGAAGCACTCCGTCGTCTATCGTCAAAGAAATTTTGAGTTTGACTTTCCTCTTTTCAATTCTAATAACAAGAACAGTTGAAACTGGCGATTGTAAGTTATGTACACAAATGTGAATCGATTAAATGTGAACAGAAACTGCTTAAATCACAATGACCACTTTATATATCACTATTCAAAGAAAAAATACGAAGTAAATTTGTGTATTTAATGCGAAACCAAGGGTGTGGATGTGAATAATGAAGATGGGATATTGCGGTTGTGTGTATGATAAGAGAATCAAACTGACCCACTAAAATAATTATACATATTTGTAATTACTGGCAAATCATTTTCAATCATCAATGAAGTTTGACATAGAAATACTTTTGTGATTCAGATTTCTTCGATATAAAGTTTGTTTCAGTTGATTTTTGATCTTTGAACAATTTTGTTCATTATTTACTAATGACAAATATATTGTGAATTGCTTTTTTGTGATAGTAAAAACGCACTAGAACTGCCAGTTACACACCATTGAGAACTTTTTTTAATACAAACCCAAAATTACCTTTTAATTAAAAGTTATTGAACTTTTCTATTTGATCTAGTAGGCATTCAATTTTTAAAGATATAGACAATTATGAAATTCAAAAGGAAGAATTCTCAGGGACTACACACAGATTGTGTGATAATGATCAATCAAACCACCAACATTTATTCAATTCTCCACTTGAATGTATTTGCAGAAGACGTATTCAGTTACATGAAGCAGACTTTCACATTAAGCCGAAGTTCCATTAAATAGAAAAATTCAATGTAAAGATTTTTATACAGTTGTACATTCTCATTCTCAAATGATCAAATATGCGAGAAGCATGCAAAAATATAGTCATACAAAAAAGATTTGTGCAAGTTGATTTCAACAATTTAGCATTTGTTCAAATAGAACACTTTTGTCTTGCTTTTTGAACAGAGAGAAAGATTATAATAGAGTTTGCTTGACTAGTAAATGTGTTTTCTTTTCAGTCATATTCCCAATTGTACTCCCTTGTTTTTTGAAATAACTGTGTACCACATTTGAAAACGAATTGCATCCTATTCGAGTCGTCTGAAATTGTCAGTCGTAGATCACACTCCTAATTTGAACGCTATTGAGTCAGTATGAAACATTATCACACAAACCATTAAAAAACATTGAATTCGAAGTCACAAAGCGCACTATAGAATGTGATCAATAAAACATACAACAGAGAACGTCACACAAAATATGTTCCAATGAAATTCTGACCTAGTAGTGAAAGACGTCCTATGATTTTATTGTTACCAATCGTAGCTTGATGAGTGCATGCTATGCCAGCGACTAGTGCTTCATTGGCAAGATTATTTAGCCCAACTAAATTGATATTTACTTAAAGGCGAACACGTTTATGACCAGGTTAAATTGATAACATATTATTTATTGATTAATACAAGAAATTGAAGAAAAACAAAATTTAAAAAAACACTCATAATATCTCGTTGTTCAACTTGTTTATATTGATTACATTTAAAATTCTGTATTATCTATGTTTATTTTATTGTTGTTTTGCATGCCTTATGGAAGACAAGAATTTTTTTATTGTTCATTTTATTTCAGCTGGACAATCCTATGTGATAAAGTTTATTAACATGATTATATTGAAAATGATTTTTGTATAAACAGTATGTCTCTGATATTTGGCATCGTATCTCATATATAGACAAATTTAAATTTTCGTCAAAAATGCAATAAAAAAATCGTCATGCAAGTCGAATACATGAGAATTGTTTGTCTTGTCAGAACGAACTTTTCGATATTTTGCCCTGCAGCCAACAAAACAGAATGATTGCCTGATAATATTCTTCAGAATTCAAATCAGGACGAAGAAAACCAGTCTATGGCATTCTCCAGCATTCGATGACCAATAAGCAAATACTATGCAAGAATAGATTTAGAAAAAAGAAATCAAACGGTATATCAACAGTTCGTATCTTCATGTGATATTTTATTTCTATTATAAGTGCTTACTCTAGAACTATTCATGTTCAAGACAGAAATGACTTTACAAACTTTTCGCGTGCCGAAAAAGATATATAGTGACCTGAAATAATTGTACTAACAGAACATAATTTTATTTTTTATTTATTTCTCGTCAATTAGTTTCGGCTGCTTATCGATGCTAAATTCGTATGTTGAACAATAACATAGTTTAAAAATGATTCTTTTTTCCCCATAAGATGTAAAATTATGAAGCGCTATTCTATGATTTTTCTTTTCATGTTTGTCTTTCAAACAACACATTGGACAAGTGGACAACTAATAAATTGTTTGTCTCTTTATTTTCTTTTTTTCTAATGCATTAATTCTCAAACGAAAACAACAGAAAAAAAATCTGGGACAATTGTATTACGATGCTTTTTTTTTCTTCTTATCAACAATCGAACAACGGGTTAAATCCATTAATCAACTACTTGAATATGTGTCGGTTTTTTTTGCAATGTTTTTCTTGTCGATATTTTAAAAAAAATTAGAGACATTAGCTATACAAAATCTGATCAGCGGCACTTGATAGAAGCGTAAAAAAAGGAATAGAGAGAGAGAGAGAGAGAGAGACAGCAAGAGAGAGAAAGAATATGCAAACGAATGGTACTGGATGGAGATGTTTGACTTTGAGTGTGACAAGAGAATGAAAGTTTTTTTTTCGCCTTCTGTCTCTCTTCAATTGTTCTGAAAGAAAATTTGCGTTGCTACTACAACTACTTATTCTTCATTACATAAAGATACCCACTACTATATACTCACTATTGCATTTTAACATCACTTATGTTACTATAGATATTTCGTCTATATAATTGACGTTAATTAATTCATCAAATATGCCTACCAATTGTTCAACACTCATTCAACGTAAACAGAATATTCTTCACAAATCTTTGCGAACCAATAGTGACGGCAAGCTTCCGAATGGTGAGAACAAAAGAAACTTACTCAATCTAGTTCCTTTCGTATATAATCAGAAATTTATTTGTTGAAACCATATACTGAGAAATAGGATGATCATTGTCATCAGCATATTGAATGTAAGGTCACGAAAAATTACAATTTTTTTAACATTGTATGTATATGAAATTTTTATGTAAATATTGTTAAGTGATAGGTTCTCGATTGTTCACGATAATCTTTTTCATTTCTACTCTTTTTTCATTTAAATTATAATTTGGAAAAAGCAAAAAGAAAAAGAAACCAGGAAGAAAAATGAAACCTTGTATAACGTATATATTACACCTACGTTGATGGAATTCTATTGTTGTACAAACACACACACATATCGTTCGGTTTTTTTTTTAACATGAATTAACAGCTTGAGAATGTAATAAAATGAGAAACCAACTAAAGGAAGTAATAATTATTAACATTAATAGCAAATTATTATACTGATCTTAATTATATGTATATGTCAGTTAATATTATTAACTGCAAGAAGCCAAAAATATTTTTTTCGATTAAAATCATCACATTTAAAAAAAGTTCTTTTCTACTATAATATACAGCGGGTATCAAAATTATTCAACAAAGTTTATTTTCAGTTTGTCTTCTACTGATCTAAGCTTTAGAAAGAGTCCAAACAGTGATTCGAGTAGGGAAAATGGTTTCCAACAAGAATATAATGAAATAAGAATTATTATCTAATTTCCAAAAATAGAAGCTCCAAAAAACCTAAACCCAAGCTTTTCAACACCAAGAACGCATAAATATAGTTTTCTTTAGACATCGTAAAATGTCAGAGTAAATAATTATCTAGAAAACGAGACGTCTTCTAGTAGCTAGCGACATTTTTTTACTATTTTCTATAGAAAAGTTATTTTTCGATGTTGACTCAAATTGCTGTATCCTCAGCCCAAAGACGTCGCAAAGAACTCGGTAATATTACATCTTGTAGACAATTATTTACTCTATCGTTCTATGTAGTGTAAACAAAAATATATTGATGCGTTCTCAGTATTGAAAAACTAGCGTTTTTGTTATCTGAAGTTTTTGTCTTTGGAAACGAGATGATAATTTTTATTTTTTGATATTCTTGTAAGAAACCATTTTCTCTACTTGAATTACTGTTCAAATTATTTGTAGCGCTTATCGCAGCAGAAAAGAAAACTGAAAATAAACCTTGTTGAATAATTTTGGCATTCACTATATATATGATTACTTGGTTTAGATTTAAACAAATAGTACTAAATAGAGTCTATTCTCTCTTAGCTGTTACTGAAACAACATCGGAATTACGTACAAACGGTATTCAAAAGTCTCCTGTTTATTCGTCGTCGGCTAATAATTTAACTAATGGCTCCAAAGGACCTTCAGTTGCTACTCGTCGAACAAATTTATTTACAAGTAATCGTATTCAACCAACTACTGAATATAATTATGAAGCACATTTACCAATAATTCGAGATGCAGCTGGTCCTGTTGAACGACAAAATCAATTTCATGATGGTCTACAAACTACTCCTCGTCCTAAAACTCCTTTAACAAATACTAGTCCAAAAAGTCTTGGCCGTCCAGCATCGGCATCGATTTCATCCATATTTAATACGCTTACAAAACGATCAACAGAAAATTTTATGAATTCCAATGGTGAAATTGATGAATTAATATTACCATCTAGTCGTCAGTCACGACGACCAAGCAATGAAAATAATAAATATGGAGCTGGTACTAATCAAGCAACGACTATAAAAGAAACAGTGGCATCTCAAAAAAATGCAATTGAGAGTAGAGTTGATACTCGACATTCAACAAGTCCATATGATAACAATCAACAACAACAACAGCAACAACAACAACAACAACAACAACAACGTGGTTTAATATTATCAACTAGACTTCGATCAGCTATACCACATGTACAAGTTGAAATTCCTTATGTCAGCGAAGCAACCGCAAAAGAACGAACAAATACTGGTGAATCGATTGTTTTACATTTTATACATATTGATCAAAAATATTTTTGTTTTATTTTTTAAGGTCAACTTTATCAACGACACACAAATAATAATTTTAAAGCACCAATCAAACAAAAAATAGATAAATATCGTCGTCGGTCAGAAGAAGTAACACAAGCTATGAATGGAAACCCATTAATAATTGCAGCAAATGCTGGTTTATCTGCTACAACACCAACATTAGCTAGTCTAGCATCAACACATTTAAAACCACCACCATCTCCAATACCGATTCGTCGTGTTACATCAGATGCTGAAATTCAAGCTCGTCTAGATGTACTTCGTTTATCTATGAATTCAAATCTTGTTCAAGTCGATCAACTACAACGACAACAACAAACTTCTCGTAATTGTCTTAAATCTCCATATTTATATACTACACATCAACAGTTAGCTCCACCAACAACTCCTCAAGCTCCACAAGTAATTCTTCGTCGTAGTCAACTAAATTCTAATGGTACATATTCTCAACATCGTCCAAATAATGGTGTTAACTATCGTCGATTACAACAATCATCTGTAAAACAATCAACAAATAATAATCAAGCAAATCTTTATTTAGCTTTTATTGCATCACGTCATTTATCAACATCAGAAGATGCACATATTGAATATGATATAGATCATCCAAAATTATTAAGTATTTTTTCTTGGCTTAAAAATGTTGAAGAACATCGTCATCAACAATTAAATCATGATAAATTAATAATTGAACAAAATCAACGTATGTTAGATAAAGAAGATGATTTATCATTATATTCTGAAATTCAATATGCTGTTGATGATCTACCAGCAAATACAAGTGGAAAACCATGTGAAAAAATTGCTACTATGAAATTTGAAGACTAAATAATATGATATATACAGTGACAGTGAATCTATGGTATTTTCTTTTTTTCTTAATTATTTTGTTTTTTTCACTTTGTTAAAAAGGGTTTTTACATTATCAAAAAAAAAAAGAATAGTTTTTTTTCTAAATATTTTCATGAAATATATATAAAAAACTACACGAGTATATTTTTACTTTTTTTCGTTCTTTGTGAAGTGAGCAAAGCACAACACAGTGGGACAGTTATACGAAGAACTATAATGTTCGTCTGAAGATTGTCGAAAAGACAAACAACTCTAGAGAAAAAAAAATGCCAGATAAACGAGATCAACTCGGCAACACTATCAATAATATTTAACATTTTTTTCTTATATTGATTACGTGTACATTTTCTAGTAATGCACTCAATCGATTCGACTTATATTTTGAATGAGAACAAAAAAATACATAAATGATGCCGATAAAATTAAATTCTATGATAAAACCCTTGGAAATTTTTGATTCAAAAGAACTCTGCTGCATGAAGTATAAACTTGTTTGTTGAGATTCATAGAAATTCTTCTAAAGCGTTCTATGGTTCCAGATGATTTGTTTGTTTTTACATCTCATAGTTATCTGTATATGATAATAATATTTGTTTTTTGTGGCAATACACTTGTTTTCAAGCATGATCTAAACGCACTACGGAGAACAAGTGTCTCGTATAATCAAAAGAAAGAGAAAACGTATGCTATGCTTTTTTCGATAGGTTTTTCTAGCTACAGATGGGTAGAGTAATGATTAGAAAATTTTTCTTACAAGAGAATCTTGTCAGCTATCTCCTTTCGGTTTCAATAGCATTTTTGTCTAAAAATTGTTAATATGTCTATTTTCTAGAGGCCTCAAGTTTTCAGAAAACTCATATTATCAAATTTTGATCTAAACCTTTGCGCATATAGAAAAATCAACAAGACTGACTTGCATAAAAAATTCATAAGTGTTGAACATACTCTTCGAGATATGAGACTTTCAAAAGATAGATCCGTTTCCATGGATAGTATATACTACATGCGGTTTTTGAAAGTTTCGTGTGTCCAAAAAACTTTGTTCAAAACTTCTGAACTTTATTATTGATATTAGTCTTTAGTTAAGTTCTTTATATGGACAAAATTTCAGATCGAAATACGATGGCTTAGTCAAACATCTATAGAAACTCAAATTCGTTTCGAATTTTTATTAGAACACTAAGTAGTGACTATGAGCAAAAAAAAACCTTGAAGTCGGAAGATGGTAACTGAAATGGTTTTCTCGTCAAACAGGGTACAAGATTCGAAAAAAGCTCACCATCCGTATCTCTATTTCTAAAAATGCAAGTATTACCAGCAGGGTTTTCAAGTAAAACACGTGAGTAATAATAGAACAAGATAATCGACAAAACAATCCATTTTATTCATTAATCAGATTGATAAACATATTATGAACTGGAATGAGTCAGCAACATTTATAGTAATCTTCCCAGTATGAAGAGACCAAAATGAAAGATTATTTCTCCTGATAGTTACAGCTGTTGCAACATCTTCTGGATACATTAATATCAGACGATATTTTATACTCGTATTGTTCAAAGTTGCCTTCTAGTCTAAAGAGATGCCATAGATCATAGCTTCTGTTTCAAATGCTGAGGCAAGAGTCAAGTTGATTTTTTAATTAAACTATGCCTTACATCAATTATTTTAATATCATACGAAAATCATCGTTGTTTTAATGATTAGTTGCATATGTGTGATGCTGAGAATAAAGCTTGTAAATCGATAATGAAAAAGGTGAAACAAATATATTTGGATACAAAAATCGTGAATAAAATTGCGGAAGACTTTTCTAACAAAAGAAAATACTTTAAAATCTCCACGATATTGAATTGCAATGCTATATTAAAATAAAGTTAATGCTGAATTCATAGGAACTGAGTTGTTCAAATAGATCTATTCAGATCAGAGAGCATTTTTAAATATTGCATGAATATGCTCCACCATATTGACACCTTATATCTTCTATGCTCATATCTAATTGAGTTTCGGCGGAAATCCTGAAAAACACATGTAATCAAACTCAAAGCCTGTGTTGACGCAAATAAAGTGAACTTTCACAAGCTGTCACGAAACAATAATAAATATAGAATACACGCATAGGCTGAGGCTAATCTTGTTAGAATATATATTCCATAGCTTATACTCAGAGGGTATTCGAATATGAGCGAATCATGTTTTTTTTTAATAAGAACAAAGCGAGATTAATATGAACAAGAAGATAAAGTGGGATATGGATGTTGCTGTTGATGAAGAAAAATTCTCAAATTCATGTTCAGTGCGAACTATCATTGGCAATTATTGAACGATTATTATCCGAAACGACATATACAATTTATGGCTACAACATCGACGGATATAATCTATCAATGTAAGCAAGATGATTTTTGTTTTAAACCTATATCTAATTAATCGTCAAATAGACAAAACTCTTATTGACGGAATTAAGGAAGTTGATAAGAATAAAAATAAATTTTACAATTAAATATAGCGATGAATTTTCAATAAAACCAATAGATAACGGAGTTATTTTAACATTTTACTCAATTCGAAATAATTCATGTTGATCTTAAAAATTATTCACTAATTTAAGAAGAAAGATTTTTCTATATTCATTCAGATTTAACTAAATAAAGTTATTGAACACTATCAGATGACGTCAATTGATTATCCTCTTCATCTTCTTCTTCTTCTTCTTCTTCTTCCTCACGAAATACAGGTAATGCTTCACCTGTATAATAGAGTACTGCTCTTGGTAATACACGTTGTTTTAATAATAATCCAAATTCAATATCAGCTTCTAAACGTATTTGATCTTCATTGTTCATTTCATGAATACCATTAACTGGAACAATTGGTGATGAAAAAAAATCAAAAAAAGATTTAATCGATTCTTCAATTTGTACAAATCGAATTTGTTCTGTTGTTTTATTTCGTATTCGTTTCGTACGTTTTCGAATTGTAAGATTATGATCAGGTTTCCATGTAATTACGCAACCATAACAACAATCAACTTCTGGTCCATCATAAGATCGATATGGATTTGAATTATTTAATTCATATCGAATTGAATATTGTTTCGTAAGAATTGTTTCAATAAAAAATGGATTTGTTGGTAAAAAATGAAATTCAAGAGTAAAACTCGTAGAATCAAGATTCGGTGGATTAAGAATACAACGAATATCAATAAGATATTTTAAACAAAGTTCATCTCGTCGTTGAATAGGAAAATCATAAGAATCAATATTTTTAAGAACTGTTAACCAGAAATTTGTTAAACCTTTTTCAGGTAGATCGGTTTGACTATTTGGAAAATCTGGAAAAAACAAAGGAAATACTATGGTTTTTTTTAAAGGCTTTTATGATTACTTAATATGTTTTGAGTTGATATTTGTTCATATTTTTGTAAAGTCGATTGATTTAAATTAGATTTTGATGTCGGATTCGATGTAATTGATTCATTAATTTGTTTTTCAAGTTCGGTTGGTTCACATGAACCATCAATAATTGTTCGTTGTCTTGCTAAAATTCGTTCAAATTCAGGATTATATGCATATTGTAAATCTTGAAGTTGTCGATAAAATTCAACACGTAATCGAAAATATTCTGCTTGATAATTAAGTAAAGCATTTATTCGACGTTGTATATCAGGTCGACAATTTGACCAAAGACTTGATGATGAATGATGAGTATTTACTATTGTTTCAGAATTTTCTATTTTTGCCATTTAAATAACAAAGATTTTTTTTTTTCTATTTAAATAATGAAACAATTAATTATATATTAGATTTAGCGCAATTTTTACACAATTTCATCATAGAATCTAGGAAATTTCTGAACCAACAAACATTATACATTCGTATAAAACTAATAGCTGAATGGCTGAATTGAAGATTTGTTTTGAAATGTGTTGAAAATATTTTCCATTGAATTCATATCACTAAAATTAAAAACGAAATCTTGTTAAATACTTTCTCAGTATTGACGATTTTAGAAGAGTTTTGTTTGAACCAAAATATTTTGAATCGTATTATCATTACTATTTTTGTCCTCATCGTATATAAAAATAGTTGTAGCTTATTAAAAACAAAACTTAATTTAAATCTCCATCTAGATGTATGCCATGAAAAAATATCAAACCGATTTATTGATAAGTCAATGTTCATTTTATTAATAACTTTTTGTAAAGTATTCACATTTAATTTTTGTTTCTCATATATTACTTTTAGACATTTTATTTGTATCGTAAACTTCATCTAATAGCTAGATGTAGATTCAAATAAAAGGTATCAACCAGGAATATGCTTGCATTTCTTAGATTATAAAATTATCATTGAATTGACATTAAGAAAGTTTATTTCTTTTTGTTTTTTATACTCATTTAACTTCTTCACAATACAATAAAGTTCCTATGTTGTCAATTGATGAATAGAATAAGTTACTTCTTTTTCAAAGTGTTCTTTATATAATAGAGAAATAAGCATTATAATTGCAACTAAGTATCAATTTTCAGAACTAAGAAAATCAAAGAGACTTTCTGAAAAATCAAATTATTTCACAATCATAACAAGAGATTATTTATTTTTTTTCCAAGAAGAAAAAACTTTATCATCATACGAAAAATCCATTTAACAATATTTTCTATTCTTTTTTAATTTTCTATTAATCTCAATATGAAAATAAGAAATCAGTAAATTGTGACACTCTAATGTAAAATAAAAACGTTTGATCAACTATCGGTATTATAAGATAAACATAATCACTAAAAAGCAAAAGAAAAGAAAAGAAACAGCGTGTGAAAGCATGACATTGTTTCTCACAGCTTAATTTTTAAATCTATCCTTTTATCTTTATTCATTTTAATTTAAGAGACTACTAGTCATTTGTCAGCTTGACGATTGAGAAGAATTGTTAATGATGCAGTCAACTCGAGACGACATGTCAGGAAATTGAAA